TTCACGACCATCGCGGGTTTTTTCACGACCAATCCAGCCCTATGGATTATACTGTGTTTGGTCGTGACAATAACTTTAATATAGTTGTAAATTGAAAAGTTTAGTTCAATTGAAACACATATTTTTATTATAACTAACAGTATAATTGAAGAATTGTTTAGAAAGAATTAGATTATTCCAGACAATTTAGGACTGTACCGCTTGTCCCTGACCATCACGTTTATGATTTCTATCATAAAAATTTCAAAAATTAAAATATCGTCATATTTCAATGTTTTATACACAAAAGAAGCACACCTCTATACAAACATAACGATTTTTCGGGTCTCAGGTAAGTTTTTTCGGAGTTATACAAACTTAAAAAGATTTTATTGGTTTTTTTCAATTTTTTTAGTTTTTTTAGTTTTTTCTAGAAAGACCAAATATACCAAAACCCCAGTGGCCTTTTTATTGTATAATGATCATAAAAGTAAATTGGTTCATAGCAAAACATAGTTATAAAAATAATATTAACCATTTTTAATATTCATTTAAACGTCCGTTATGGCTGTGACGGGATTTTGTGTTTTTCCACTAAAGATGCTCTTTTAAAAAAAAAACTACCAAAAGATATTGCGTTACCATGGACATTTTATGAAACTTCAAATGTTAATGAAATAAAAAAAAATAATAAAAGTTTTGAAAAAAGGGGAAAAAATTTGCAAAGCGCTTTTCCTGAAAACGTACGTTTTTAAATTTTTACTCGGATCTGTCAGCTCACTACAAACTATTAAGTTCCCTATCCTTTAGTTCCTTGATCAAAATGGGTAGCCAAAGTGACCTGATTTCAACCGATGACTGACTGATTGGTTGGTCTGCTAATTTAATGTATGAGGCTTCAAAGAGTTTACGTTTGAAAAAAATGAGGTTCCTTATGGACAATTTTTGCCTATTCAAAATTCATACGATGATTTTCGGACCAGCAATGAAGAGCGATCTTAGATTTTTCCACTAAACCTTTTTTGGTGTTTTCTCTGTGTTCTTTGATTCTAATGTTCAACGGTCTTTTTGTCTCGCCATAGTAAGGCCTGGAACAATCATTGCAATTTATTTTGTCAGTTTTTATTATCCTGAGTGTCATTTTTGGGTTTTGTTTTGACGAGACTCTGCCTAAGTGTGTTTTGTCTCCTAAACGCTGTTTGCACATTAAATTTCCTAGCAACCCTTCTGATTTTTTCCAACAGCCCTGACACATACGGGATTGACAGGTGGACGAGCTTTTCCTTGCGATTTTGTAAAGGTTCACGCGTAGCCCTATCTTTCTTGCATTTGTTTATAATGGATCTAGGGTATCCGTTACTTGCCAAATCCTGTTCTACTTTCTTTATTTCATCCTTTAACTCATCCTGATTGGAGCAAATGCTCTTAGCCTTGTCAAACAGAGAGTAAGCAACTCCCTCCTTGACAGAAATTTGGTGGTTTGATTGAAAGTTTAAATACTGCCCTGTGTGAGTCTTCTTTCTATAAACAGATGTTCTATGACTACTAGAGAACCCGTGCGGCTCAATGAGCCGCATATTATGAAACATAACGCCGAGGAAAACGTTATGCTTAAATTCAAGTAATTCTAGTTACATCTCAGAGTTGTTTAAACACTTGTTAGAAACTAATTTTAAATATCTCTGTTTGCGTCGTCAAGGTCTACCTACATTATTTCTGCTCTCAGTTTTAATTGATAACTTCTAATGAATGCTAAACGATCTGCTTCAATTCGAGTTAACATGTTGCAACAAAGTTTTTCCAGCATTAAGAATTGAAGAAAACTGTTGCCTTAATTATAACATGTGTTTATTTAAGTTGGGTCATTTTATTTCTTTGATTCGAGACATCCTCCTAATTAAACAAATTTTCTTCGTAGAGAATCCTGAAAAGTGGAGTGATATCAACTATTTAATGTGCTCCATTTTTTACCCACAAACTCTGGGTTATCAACAGGAAAGCCATAATCTGCGTTGAATAGGCTAAAGCAGCAACACCATGAAATAGGTTGGATAACTCTTGTAGCTATAAGATTTGGATAGGAATTTTCATTTTCTCTTTTTGAACAGCGTATGTTATTTGCCTCTCCTGAATCATAAAAATAAACTTGACTGTAGCTAATCGATCGTTAAATACATAAACACTATTTCCTTCACTTATGTCTAATATTGCCACTAAAATTCAGTCAAAAAACTTTGTATACGTTTGTCCGAGGAACTGGCAACATAACCAAGAAGTAAACAATCCATTTGTTTTTTTTCCTAAATTAAAGTAGAGCGAGTAATACAAAAGTTTAAAATAAAAACTTAAGGTCCGCCAAGATTTTGTATAACCTTACTACTTGAACTTATCATAGTCAAATCATTATTATTGTTTGTACTAAATGTTTTGAGATCTGTCAGTGTCAGAAGTAAACATTTCTCGCATGCATTCATTTGACCTGACATTAGGCAAGTATACTTTACCACAGTGACAACACTATGTGCTTAATATATTTTTTCACTTCCAAAGTAAGTTGCATAGTAGAACTGGCAAATATTATTCATCTCACCAAGTGAATGTGTATCTAGATGGGTATCTGTTAGATCAGACCTCTCTTTTTCTTCTCTCCTCATACGCATAAGATATCTTATTATTAATAATTGTCTCCTCCCGTTTTCAATATTTCTTCTTTGAACTTGAGGCATTTTCCGTTCTTCCAACAAAACTGATTAACTGTTTAATTTGGTCTTAACCTACTGAATATTAAAACATCAATATTTACTCCCAAAAAGCTAAAAGGTTTCTTTTTATAAACAGCTGTTTTTTGTTTTTAAATTTGTTCTATGTATTTCTTATGGGGAAAACCCGACCTTTGAGAGGGTCTCGCGCCCTTAAGAGTAGACATTTTAAAGTTCTAAAACCTTATTGCAAAACTACATATTGAGACGAATCTTTTGACACCTTAAACGTTAAAATTGGTCCACAAATAAGGGAGGAGTTGCGTTAACAAAATACGGCTTCACGTATTATATATATAGATTCAAATGCTTTTCTATGAGCACATCCAAAAAGGGGAGTTTGTTTTGTGATTCTACCTCCATGGTTAGTTTTATGAAAGATAATACGCTATTGAGGTGTTCTAAAAACTCATTCAATTTATCATCTCCGGAGGGAAAACCACGAAAGTGTCATCTACATATCTCCACCATATCTTCGGTTTGAGCCGAGCCAAAGCCAAAGCTTATTGCTCAAACTCCTCCATAAAGATGTTGGCAAAGATAGGTGACAATGGTGACCCCATGGCCATACCCTCATCTTGACGGTATAATTTACCCTCTAATTGGAAATAGTTACACTGAGTACACAACTCCAAAAGTTCTATTATGACGTTAACAGGGAGTTTAGTTCTGTTTGCTAAAGTATCGTCGTTTGTGAGAAGAGTCTCAATTATTTTTAGGGTTTCCGAAATGGGGACATTCGTAAACAGACTTTCAACATCGAAGCTGACCAGCTTGTCAGTATCAGCCAGTACGATAGATTTAGACTTTTCTACAAAATCTTTGGAGTTTTTGATAAACGAATCCAGTGTTTCCTACTAAAGGCTTTAAAATGTCCAGAAGGAATTTAGACAATTCCCTACAAGCAAAATCACTCAAGCTAACTATCGGTCTCAGAGGAACGTTAGGTTTATGGATCTTAGGTAACCCGTACATGTGTGGAATTTTGGAATGGTGTGGTGTTAACCGAGTCCTTTGTTTGTCGCTAAAAATCTTTTTGTGTTTTTTTTAGAGTACAGTACCTACTAGCGATTTTACGCTCGAAAGTTTCTGTGGGTTCTTTTTTCAATTGGGTGTATTTGCCAGATTGCAAAGTTTCTAACATTTTTTCTTCGTATGTCACAGTATCAAGAACTACCGTGGCATTCCCTTTATCCGCGGGCAAAATCTTTACAGTACCGTCTTTCCCAAATTGCTTTGGTTTCCTCTTTACTAAGATTAGGTTTAGGAGTGGGAATTTTCTTTAGTAAAATACTATCTTCACAACGGAACTGATCCAACTGAGACTCAGGTAGGTAACTGAGAAACAGCAGTTTTTTTTTTACGTTACACCTTTTATAGATTAGTGTTTTGTGATTGATTATTATTTGCATGTTGTTTCATGACTTGACTGCTATACAGTGCATATTTTTTTACTGCTACCCCCTGTAGTGTATTCCAACTTAGGTTGGGTGTTTGTGTATTGTTAGTTGTAATGTGTTAGTTAAGTTTTTTCACCTGAGGAAGGGATCAGATTAGAGATCCCAAAACGTTGTGTGATGGAAAATGTCCGCAATAAACCTTTGAACAACATTAACTCACCATCACCAACAATGAATTTCAAACAAAGGATCTTGGAACATAAAATGCCCTCAATGGTAATCTAAGTAAATTTTGAGTGTTGCAATGTGTTTTTCACCCAATAAAACCCCTATGCAGATGTTTAAACCATTATTTTAGGCCAACTGACAACATATGGGGTAAACAGGGTCTGGCCACCATATCTTTGATATCGCAATTCCGGTTCTAATTTCGCTTTGGCAACAGGCAGATTCGTACTCAGCAGGGTCAAATTATCATAAAAATGTTGTTTCCCCAATTGTTACATGAAATGCTTCTTGCATTTTGTAGAGATGGATTTCATAATTATGGGCCTGGTCTAAGATAGGTATCTAGGATGGTGAGGTTCAGAAAGAGTACAACTATAGAATAGATAGGTTGGGCTTTGTTTGTTTGTTGCGCTAACAAGACCAGTGTGATCCTACACACAAAATGACCTCTATTTAAACAGTATTTTTTATAGAAAAAATGTTTTTCCAATAAAAAGAAATCTAAATTATATTCATTATTTAGTTATAAAATACAACATGCAGTTTATTATAATATTCCATGCTATAGGTACTGTGCAAACACTTATGACATATGTTTATAATGTTACTTATCTTCTTTTTATCATATGGCTGATATGTACTTTTAAAAATTATTGTAAACAATTCAAGTCATAAAGGATCATGTAAAATTTACCAGTTTCATTTAGTTTTATCAAGAAAACGCAAGATAAATTTTGAATATTACATAAATTGTATTTAATACGTTCATTTGGTAAGTAGTTTAAATGTGGAAAAAATAAGTAAAACTTTATTTCTACAACAATATGCCTAAACTATGTTGTTGTAACTATGTTGTATGGGCATTGAAATAAAACTCCCAAATTTGTTTCTTATTAACTCCCAAGTTGTTTCTTATTTTCAAAATTACAAAATGATAAGTTCAGTCGCCTCTTTGCTGTTTTCTTATCAGTAATTTTATTCTTTTCATACAGGGTGTCCCATAATTTAGTATCAAACATTTAGAAATAGGTTTTATTATAGGTCGAATAAAACAAAAATCAAAGAATACATTTTTTAAGCCTTGTAAGGAAGATGTTCACAATTTTTATGGCAGGCATTTTAACTTGTATATCTTAAAAAAATATGGCTGAGTTTATGAAATCATGCCACTAACATTTTTTAAGAATTTAACCGTTTCTATCAAATAACACTAAGCTGAAAAAGATCAAATAATACATAGCAAGAAATCACGACTTTTAGGCGCAAAATGAGGCATCCCCTGACAGGTTGGCTTCATTTTGACTGGTCTGTAAACCCCTTTACCAAAGTTCGATCTTGCTGTTTTGCAAAACTCAATTGAATAAAGATAAGTTTACACATTTGTACCAAATTAAATCAAAATTGGATGAATTTCACTCTAATTATTGTGCTATAGACACATAACAGCTTTGAAACAATTTACCTTTATCCATGAAAATGCTTGGTAATCGTCCCCCGGTCCGTGGTGGCCCTGAAAAAAATTGTATCTTTGACTATTAATACAACGATAGTCAATGATTGTAGCCTATGTACTTTGAGGGTATGGCCTATGCTGGTGCGTCCAAAGATTGTTTTGGTGTTGTGTAATTGCTGACAAAGTGTGTGAATGATTTTGTTAGACAATTGTTGTTATTTTTATAAGTAGGTATTGTTTTTGAAGAAAAATGTTTTCTATTAAAAAATTTATAAGTGTGCAGGTTAAGTGTAAGAAAGGGCATGTGGCCCAAACTTTTCCTGTTGAAATAAAGGATAGGCCTATTTCATTTAATAACAGATAATGTTTGGTCTCTGGTGACTACATAACATAAAGGTAAATTGGTCAAGGGTCCAGGTCTTACTATGAGATCTATGGTACATATTGCGAATGATTGAGTCCTACCTTTCAGACCGCGTCCTGCTTTTTGACACCACCGAAGGTCAGTGTCGGATCTCTGTCACTTCTGGGGCTGCACAGGGATCGATCCTTGGACCTGATCTCTGGAACGTGTCTTACGACAGTCTGCTTAGACTCGAAATGCCAGACGAGACCCGCCTCGTTGGCTACGCCGACGACGTCGCTGCTCTGGTTGCAGGCAGAACCGTTGAAGAAGCAGAGCTTAAACTTGGTATAGTGATGCTCCGTGTCAACGAGTGGATGCGGGACCACGGCTTATCGTTGGCAGTTGAAAAAACAGAGATCGTGATCCTAACCAAGAAAAGAATTCCCACCGTCCTTCCTTTGCAAGTAGGCCATGCCCAATTGGAGACCAAGCCGTATGCCAAATACCTTGGTGTTATGATTGACGGCAAAATGTCTTTCGGCGAGCAGATAAAGCGAACTGTTGACAAAGCCGCCAAGGGGGTTGTTGCCCTTAGTAGGCTTATGCCAAACGTCGGCGGCCCCCGCTCCTGCAAACGCCGCCTACTGATGTCTGCCGTCCAATCAGTACTCTTGTACGGCGCTGAAATCTGGGCCCACGTGCTGGAGAGGCGTGTCTTCCGTGACAGGCTCTCCTGTGTTCAGCGTCGAGGTGCCTTGCGAGTTGCTTCCGCTTACCGCACGGTTTCCGAGCCTGGAGTCATGGTGATTGCCAGTGTCATCCCCGTCTTTCATCTCGCGAGGGAGCGACAGGCGATATACCGCAGGAGACCTGAAGTAGATAGAGAGACTGCTGCCAGAGAAGAACGCAACCGCAGTTTTGACCGCTGGCAGCGTGAATGGGAAGCCGAGTCTCGGGGACGTTGGACCGCCAGGCTCATTCCTAGCATCCGACCATGGGTGGAACGGGAGCATGGTGAGGTTGGGTACTACTTGACTAAATTTTTTTCGGGTCACGGGTACTTTCGGGCCTTTTTGCACAGAATGGGGAAGGCTGCCAGCCCAGACTGTATGTACTGTCCTGGCATTGCAGACACGGCTGAGCATACCTTCTTCTTCTGCGACAGGTGGCATGTCCGCCGAGCCTCCTTGATCTCCGAGATCGGCGTCGATATTACTCCCGACAACATCGTTGGAGCTATGCTCCAGGGGGAAGGAAACTGGAACTGTGTAAACCAGTTCGTCGAGGCCATACTTCGGGATAAGAAGGTCAACCTCGATCGGCCTTAATTTTCTGAGGAAACCAGAAGGAAAGCCCTAGGGGCGTAGTATAAAAGGCCTAGCCCGAAGTAATGTGCGAAACAGTTCCAGGCTAGTGTCCTAGGAGATGAGGGGGTTTTTTAGCCGGTAGTCCGGGGACAATGAGCCCACGGGAGTCCGGCACTACTGAGTGGCCATTGAGCACCTCAGTGTGCGTAAATGCATTTTTACCTCCTCCCCATAAAAGAAAAAAAAACTATGAGATCTATGGTAGGTAATAGCTTACTCCCAATATAGAAAGTTTGCTAAAATCATTGCACTTGATTTTAACTTAGCTGTTAAATTGTAACTCCATAGACAAAAAGAATTAAATATAGACCGTCAGCTGTGCTGTGGTTACCTACCTTAGGTTCTGGCGCACAACACTGAGCCTGCCATGTAGTTAAGGCGTAAGCTCTACATAGCTACACAGCGCTCCCAGCGGTGTCCACCAGAACCCATGGCAACCAATGTAACTGCAGCACAGCTGACAGTATATATTTAATTCTTTTTGTCTATGGTAGTACAAGTGGGATATTTAGAACCATCAGAGAATTATTTAAAACCCAGAAAACGTGCTAATTTTTTAAACAATTAGTTTTTGCAAGACCATTTCCTTATCTCTTGTCATTGGCTATATACAGTAGTACTATCACTATCACAGTATCAGCAATCTGACACATCCTTTCTCCCATTAGCTTTTAACAACCAAGCAAAGGGAGAAACTGAAACTAACTATGATAAAAGCTGCATTACCTTTGAACCGTAATTTGTGCTGGAACAGGGGGGGGGTGCACTACAGTATTGCGTTAAGGAATATCACATACTTATTTCAATCAACACAGGTTTTTTTTTATTAAAAATAAGATTTCCTCTTATGTAATGGTTTTTATTGGGAAAATAACATATTTTACAATAATTTTTGAACCGCAAGTTTTACAGTAATGGCGTTATACCATTTTGTTCAGAATTAGAAGGGCTGCAACAAACTAATTTTTTTTTCAAAATCATTCATGCCATTTTTTTTTAAATTAAATATTTCTGTTATTTTATGGTTCTATATGGAAAAATCTACATTAAAAATCAAAGTTAAAAAAAACTGCTGAAGATACTATAGATTAGTACCTACATACCAAATGTTATAAAAACCGGACCATATCTGTTTGTTCTAAAGCAATGTTTTTTTGGAGCTAACGTTTGTTGATGTACTTTTCACTCTAACAGTATAGTTACAGATACCTGTACTTTTGAACCTAAGCAATTTTAAAGTTATGCTCCTATTATTATGTCGTGTTCCTATTTTTATCCGTTACATGTTGGAAATAGTCCTCATGTGCTTGGTAATGATGAGGTTTGCTTTTGAATATGATTGTGAAAGTGATTGTAACATATTATGTTAACCACATGGAAAACATGTTGAAAAGTAATAATAATGCTGACCAAATATTTGATTTTACAAGAATATTAAAATCTATAAACATAAAAATATTCGTAAATCACATTGTTATATGTGATATGGAAAGCGAAAAGGGACCTCTTGTCAGCGATGGAAAATTTCCAGTACGGCCGATATACAGTAAGTAATTAAGATCAAAAATATCGAACTTTGGTTTTTTATTGATTGTTATACCTCATTTATCATAGAACAGGACAGTATCGGTTAAAATATCAAATTCAAGAGGTAAATGGTCTAAATAAATTATTTTGTTGGCCTCCGCAAGGTCTGAGAAAAGGTACCTCTTGTCACTCAATGTTATTTCGCCATAACAACAAGAGGTGCCATTTCTAATATTCACTTTATAAACAAACTTCAGTCCAAAAAATGAATTTTCCTGCATTCTAGACAAAATTAAGAGAACTACATCAAAGTTCAGTTTGCGGAGAACAATATATCTCACAAATTTTGCGGTCCCGACAAGAGGTACCTTTTCTTATGTTATGGAGAAATAACATAGGACCGACAAGAGTTCCCTATTCTGAAAAGTGATTTTTACGACATGCTTAAATAAAACAATTATTTAAATTAAAACTACCGGGAGTTTAGACAAAAATGGGTTTTGTCTCCAAAGAGGATATTATAAGCTTTCTGTTGATACCAAAATCGTTTCTTAAATACAAAAAAAAACTGTTTTTATGCGTACTTGAAGTTTTTGAAATGGTTTTTCTCAAAATGACCCTTTTCCATAACAAAATTTCAAAGTCCTATAACTTTAACAAAGAAAATCGTAGATACACGGGACTTGCACCAAGTGATTCGGAATTTAATAAGGAATTCAAATATATATATATATAACTCAAAATCAAAAATTCCCGACAAGAGGTCCCTGTTCGCTTCCCACCAGTGGCGGTGACAGCGGGCCCGCAGGGCCCGCAGTGCAGGGGGGCCCCCAAGCTAGGGGGGCCCGTGAGCCTTGACCGGGATTTTCGGTAAATTTTACCGGCACACGGGCCCGCGATAGTGTGACAGGCTGAGCCACACGGGTCCCCTATCATAACAATATTTATATGAGAATTAAAATACATTTTTTTATGGTGAAAATTTGTTCAAACCTATAGTTCAAGTAGTTTACAACAGCTAAACTAACACTATTACTTGACCGATCGATATAAATCATCTACCAAACTAAGTAAGAGAATTGTCATCAGTCATGCGGGTTGCATTAACTGTCCTCGTGGATTGTGTGAAGGCGCAGTCAAAATTGGTTGCATAATAATAGGGCCGTATTTATAACCAATGTGGCCTCTGGCATAGGAAGATAAAACATTAATGTCAATTCTCCTAGCCCCCAGCGGGTGACACCATGGAGGATCCTCTATGCTGATTCGACTAAATAAACTTGACAATTTTGTTAACCTAGGCGGGTGACGATGACGATGTCTCCGCGGCCGCAGATGTTCAATATTTTGCTGCGATTGCGGAAGACAATAATTATGTTTCTTTTTTAGCGAGATATATATCTAGGATTTAGCCGCGATTACGGAAAAATGATTTATCCGTCACCACTGACGGGTCGCGGGGAGATATTAGGCCGTTGTTATATGTTGTTTTATATCTATATAAGCTGGATTAATTTCAATCCTATTTTTAATATATTACAGCTGTTAATATGTTTACATTCTAAGATTGATGATGAATAAAAAAAAGACTTATTTTTAGTTTCTTACAATTATGCTTTATAAATATTAAGTACGTAACAGCCGTGATATTAGATTGGGCCGTGAGCGCGGGAGACGATGATGCTGCTATCTAATGATGTCATAGGTTTGGTTGCCTTTGCAATCACGGTAAACTATGATAATGTTTCTTCCATGACTTATGACTACGGGAAGTATTTGAGTGAAAATTTAAAAACGTACATTTTCAGGGAAAGCACTTTTAAAATTTTTGTTCCGTTTTTTGAAACTTTTTTTTATTTCATTGACATTTGAAGTTTTATAAAATGTCCATGGTAACGCAATATCTTTGGCAAATTTTTATAAATAGAGCATCTTTTATGGAAAAACACGAAATTTTGTCACGACCATCACGGACATAAAACTGAATATTAAAAATAGTTAATATTATTTTTATAACTATGTTTTGCTATAAATTAATTTACTTTTATGGCCATTATACAATAAACAGCTCACTAAGCTTTTGGTATATTTGGTCTTTCTAGAAAAAATAAAAAATAAAAAAATAGAATAAAAGCCAATAAAATCTTTTAAGTTTGTATAACTTGTAAAAAACTTACCTGAAACCCGAAAATTTTTTACCTATGTTTTTATAGAGGTGTGCTTCTTTTGTGTACCTATAAAACATTGAAATATGATGATATTTTAATTTTTGAAATTTTTATGATAGAAATCATCAACGTGATGGTCAGGGACAAGCGGTACGGTCGTGAATTGCCTGGATAATCTAAATCTTTGTAAACAATCCTTCAATTATACTGTTGGTTATAATAAAAATATGTGTTTCAATTGATCTAAACTGTTCAATTTACAATTATATTTAAGTTATTGTCACGACCAAACACAGTATAATCCATAGGGCTGGATTGGTCGTGAAAAAACCCGCGGTGGTCGTGAAACTTTGGTCATGACATTACGTGTTATTTGGCTTTGTTCTGGCGGTAGCCCTGCACTTCATGTTCGAGGATACAAAGTGGAACTTCTAGGTTAATGTAGCAATTGAAATATATCAACAAAAATTAAAACCACATCTTCTTCATCAAATGACTACGTACGGTCATGGACACACCAAAATTACAAAAAACACAAACTTACCTTTATTAATCTTGTAACTACTTCTTTCAACACAAAACGACTGGCACAACAAACTTAACGTACACCCCGAACTAGTCTCTAAAACGAACTGACGCAATCGACGCCAGGCTTGCCACTGTCGTGCTCCAAGTTACAAATTTTTCCCAAATGGTCGTGACGCCAAATCGAGGGACAGACTTATTTTGTCATGGTAGTCAGTTTGCAATGACAATAAAATTATAATATGCTCATTTTTTGTAAGTTTAATAACTATTATTGATGACATAAAAATATAGCTTTATATATTTCGGCATGAATAATTAGTCTAAAACAGCGTGAAAGTTTGAAAATGTACCCTAGGGACACGTCATGGTCGTGAATTTTGAGACTTTAAAAATACGAAAAAAATACCTAGAACCTATTTAAAACCAAATAAATGTTCGTAACATGTTGCCCCCGTCCCAAAAAATATTAAAACACATAATAATACACAACAAATTCAGTATCTACGAAGTAAAAGGCCAGGGTCATGAAAACATACGTTTTTAAAATTTTCACTCATTTATGATTTTGCCGCGATCATGGAAGACGATAATGACGCCTCGGGAGATGCCTTGTCAAGTTTATTGCAAAATTGCAAGTTTAGGCGGTAATACATGGGAAAATGTTTTTAAAGATCATTGGGAGAGAGGGGCCCGGCGAACAAACTTGCGGGGGGGCCCGCGGGCTGTTATCGCCGCCACTGCTTCCCACATCACATATTCATAACTTTTGTTGAATGTAGATGTCAATTATTATTGTCATATTAATAGTTGACAGTGCTAACCACTAACTTTTATTCCAGGAACTCATCAGGCTCAACATTAATGATCTAAAATTGAAATTAGGAGAAATCACTATCATTAAGAACTCCTCATAAGAACTTATTAGGGATAAATAGACATCATGGAGCAAGCTCAGAATGGCCAGTTATCATTATACATCAAAAAACTTGTTGAGCTGCTTGATTCACTTGATGTGACAATTTTGAACCGTGACCGACAAGGCAATAAGCTAGAAACTGTGAGGTCCTTAGCACCTGTACCAACCAAAAGTGAGAAACCAAATGAGAAGTGCAAAAAAAATCCTAAGTGGGTTTTTACACAAAACCCTACGATTAAACCTGAACCACCTACCACTCCCCCTCCTGGCTCGTGGACTATAAATGAAAAAGGGTATGCAGTGTTAAATGTGTCTGGCAAACAACCTAATGGGACATGGTTTATGAACTCTTCAGGCAATTCAGAATTGTTGCCCAATGGAAGGCAATTTCCTCCCCTTCCTCAAGGAGGAAAATGGATCATCGAATCTGGAAATCCTAAGTGGGTTGTTACACAAAACCCTACAATTAAAACTGATCAACAAACCACCCTTCCTGCTGGTGAGTGGTTTATAAATCATACAGGGCATGCAATGTTAAATGTTTCTGGCAAACAACCTAATGGGATATGGTTAATGAACTCTTCAGGCAAAGCAGAATTCTTAGACAATGGAAAGCCACTTCCTCCCCTTCCTCAAGGAGGACAATGGATCCTCGAATCTGGAAGTCCTAAGTGGGTAGTTACACAAAACCCTACAATTAAAACTGATCAACAAACCACCCTTCCTGCTGGTGAGTGGTTTATAAATCGTACAGGGCATGCAATGTTAGATGTTTCTGGCAAACAACCTAATGGGACATGGTTAATGAACTCTTCAGGCAAAGCAGAATTCTTAGACAATGGAAAGCCACTTCCTCCCCTTCCTCAAGGAGGAAAATGGATCATCGAATCTGGAAGTCCTAAGTGGGTTGTTACACAAAACCCTACAATTAAAACTGATCAACAAACCACCCTTCCTGCTGGTGAGTGGTTTATAAATCGTACAGGGCATGCAATGTTAGATGTTTCTGGCAAACAACCTAATGGGACATGGTTAATGAACTCTTCAGGCAAAGCAGAATTCTTAGACAATGGAAAGCCACTTCCTCCCCTTCCTCAAGGAGGAAAATGGATCATCGAATCTGGAAGTCCTAAGTGGGTAGTTACACAAAACCCTACAATTAAAACTGATCAACAAACCACCCTTCCTGCTGGTGAGTGGTTTATAAATCGTACAGGGCATGCAATGTTAGATGTTTCTGGCAAACAACCTAATGGGACATGGTTAATGAACTCTTCAGGCAAAGCAGAATTCTTAGACAATGGAAAGCCACTTCCTCCCCTTCCTCAAGGAGGAAAATGGATCATCGAATCTGGAAGTCCTAAGTGGGTTGTTACACAAAACCCTACAATTAAAACTGATCAACAAACCACTCTTCCTGCTGGCGTGTGGATGATAAATGAAACAGGGCATGCAATGTTAGTTGTCTATGGCCAACAACTTGATGGAACATATTTTATGAATGCTTCAGGCAACCCAGAATTTTTACCCCATGGAAATGAATTTCCTCCCCTTCCTCAAGGAGGACAATGGAAAATCACTCTTGATGGAAGGCCTCAGTGGGTACCTTTACGACAAGGACAAACCGTTCCTTCTGGCCGTTGGATTGTAAATGAAACAGGGCATGCAGTGTTAATTGTTTATGGTCCTCAGCCTAATGGAACATGGTTTAAGAACGCTTTTGGTGAGGCAGAGTTTTTATCATATGGAAATAAACTTCCTCCTCTTCCTCAGAAAGGTAAATGGACCATTTCTGATAGTGGAAAGCCTATTTGGATTCAGGATCCCAAGTCAAGTTCTAAAGGTAATGTTGCTGAAGCAATTGCTATTAGTTTAAAGGGAGATGCAAAAGCTAAAGCGACGGCAGATATTCCTGGTGCTACCGCCTATTCCACTACAACAGCTGTAGGTAATGCTATTTCAGAATCTACAGCTATAGACGGTAACTCAATAGCAGTAGCTACAGCTACTTCAAGACGCCGCGACCGTAAAGCACCAAAGCCTACAAGATCACAAATGCCACCAAATGTGGAAGATGGCTATTTCCCTAATACCAGCTTACAGGAAACATATCCAATAGATTCTCATCCTGCCATTAGAAAGGTGTATCAAGATATTCATAAAACTCTGAAGGATATTGATGAGTGTGTCAACAAAATTATGTACAAACTAGGATTTTAAACACAATAAAAGTATGGATTAATTTTGATAGAGTATTACTTCTATATAATTATTACTTGCATTCCAGTAATATATTGTTACTTAAGGGGACTGTAACTAGAAAAAAATCGAAAATGATAACATTATTTCTTATTCTTTTGAAGAATTTCTTTTATCTTATGTCGTGTTACTGCTGTTAACAGATACGTACCTATTGAAACACGATATGTCCATTTTTAACCAAAATAAAACAAAAAAAGGAGTCCTCCTCCTCTACAGGAAAAAGCAACAAAACAGGTGTAGTGTGCAATCCCTTTTAAACTCGATTATGCCGTCAACTTCCACCCAAGCCAGGCACCTTTAAGGTAGGCCTATCCCACCTTTAGGTCCCTTATTTGCATTAGCTGTATGGGCTATTAATTAACAGCTGTGTCTAAGGAATATGCCGGCCTTAGTCACAAACAAGACTACAAGATCGCGCCACTCGTACTACACTTGTCTCCATTCATACTTGGCTTAAAATAACTACTTTGTATGGTTGCTATTTCATTGAAAAGTATAAAAGTATAAGCACATTATTAAGCTTAGTCAGGATTGCACACGTCGGGAATCGAACCCGCGCATGTAGAAAGACCTCAGCGCTACACTTGTCAGTGCAACGCCTTAGCCAACTGAGCTACCATGCCACCATCGGACGATTGGGTAGTTTGTATAGTTATAAGAAAGCACATGATGACACTAGCGCTCCTAGGTCTGAGTCAACGAACTACTTGAGCGTCAGTGGGCTACTGTACAACTGCTATACTTTTATTCATTCGCTATGAAAGTCAGTTTCTTAACTTTGATGTTACTTTTCTCACTATCGTTGGACTAAGAGTATCCAAAGTATTACCACATATTTTATACACAACATACTAGTTCCTACCAGAAGTATTTTAATTAATGCAACCCACAAGTTTTTATTAGAAAAATTAAATTAGTATTTTTTTATTCCTATAAAAAACACTTAGAGTAAAAATGTATTTAAATCTCCTATGCGGAACTACATAAACATTTGATCTTTAAAATTAAAAAATTAAAATTAAGGCTCTATCCCTTATAGTTCTCCAGATGTCTAGCATACATTTAACACTGCATAAAATAGGCAGTCACAGTCCCCTTAATAGAGACCATCAAATTGTAAGGCATTTTTTTCAAAACAACACCCTTTAGGTATTTTAAAACTCTTAAACCAGTACATTTTTACATGCTCCAATAGAATAATTTGAGATTTTGAGAGCTAGGGCCTAGTTAAAATAGTGTTCACCTATGGAAAAAAATTGCCAAATCGATCCTAACAAAGGTCAGTAGAGTAGCTTTTTGAGGCAACACTGGACCCAGCTTTCTTTGATTATTGGGCTTAAATGGTTCTGGCTAGTAAACAGATAATCTCACTCCGTTCTACACCCATCCTGTATTCATATGTATATAGGCCTTTTAGAGGACGTCCAGTGGTCGAAAGCTTGATAGAAAAACAATGAAAAATAATGTAATGTACAGACTTCATTATTTTCACCCAACGCTGTAAATGAAACATGTGATAATTGTATAGCAGTCTTCCATTTAATATATGTTATAATAAAAACCGTCTAATAGCCCAGTCAAATGGTGTTTAAAAAGGGCTCGAAGTGGAAAGTTCTGGTGTAATTGTTTTTTAAGGCTTATTTTATGTTTTTGGGGTTGCTGAACACGAATCTGATGTTTTCCAACAAAAATTATTTCGTCAAATATGAATTAAAAAATTAATTAATTAAAAATGCTTTATTTCTAGTTTTTGGCTTACAACCTTTAAATTATAGGCCAGTAAAATAGGTTTTCGCCCAGAAATAATTCCTGGAAAGCTGGGGATAATTTTAATCCTTTCTATTTATATAGAAGTAAAAAGGATTTAAGTTTGTCCCATTTTTCCAGGTGAGCTTCTGACCTGGGACCACAAAATCCTTGAAATTCAGGGTTATTTTTTAGAATTTGCTTAAACGTCAAAAACCCGTCTAGCCTACAAAAAAAATAACAAATCATAAATGAATTGTAGAGCATAAAATTCCGCATACATTGACTATCTGGTGATGAAAATCGAACCAATGATAAGAGATTTATATTAATATAAATAAAGTTATTTTATTCAGAAATTATTGAACATTGAATATTTAACATTTATATTACTTCCAGAAAATGGATACCAAGTACATTATCATTTACAAAGTAATTAATAGAAATTACATAATACCCCCGACGCAGCAAACTTGCAGACTAAGTGAATTTTCATTTGCATGATTCAATTTACTCTAAAACATCACTTTAAACATATCGAACTTGTTCCCCATTTAAATAGCATTGGTTTAACGAGTACTTAGGTTTGCTGCAACAGGGAGGGTAAAAAGTGTTTTAAATTTTAATGGTTTTGTATGAAATGAGTACCTTTTCCACTTTTTATCAAAATATGTTCATAACAAGCAAAATATAATAGTTTACTAATTCCCTATAAGAATAAAATGAGAATTTTAAATATTTTTTTTCTCCGTTACTATTAGGTGCATATTAAAGCTTCAATATATTAAATTATTTGTTTTTTAAGCTATACAAAATTGTTTGGGAGAAATTGCAGGATTGTATACTTTAAGGGTAAAAAAAACTAAATTTTGACCCCCATAATAACTAACCCCACCAAAACCAACTGGTCTGATCATGCTGGCTCGCGAACTCCTCCCGGTTAAATTAAGGTTTACAAGTTTATAACAAATTTCGTAAAAATCGGATGATTTGATAGAGTTATCGTGCTAACGGACACATATATAAAAATTTAAAAATATATATACAGTAAATAAAATATTTATGTAACGGGGGGGGGGGGGGGGGCACCGGCAGGCGTCTGCTTGTTGCTCACCGTAGACGGCCACAGCCCGCTACTGTAGTGTAGTCGTCAGTACTCGCATGCTATGCATTCATTCATCGTTTACAAAATTGCCTCAGTACTTCGGGGAGAAAGTCAAGTATAATCAGTATTTCATCGGAACAATTTTTCCCTATATTGAGTAATCTTCAGTGTAATATCACATACAATAGACCATCCTATCATAAATGGTCTATTCTCTGTGGTAATATTAACTCAATAGTAACAACTAATCATTCTGCCACGCAGGTGGCTGAATCAATCCAAAGTCAATTTCATAAAACCAGGTAATAGTTGTATGGTTGAGTTTTGTTTTTGATGCCAATGGTGACTATGAACAATAATTATTGTTTTCTACAGTAGATTAAAAGATATACATTATTATCTTCTGAGAATAACATCGATTTCATCGATTTTCAACAGGTTAAGTTTGACAGAAAAGACAGAGTTTTACCACTTTCCACAATGATCCATTCCCTTAAAATACATGATGACCTTAATCGTACCTATCAATCCAACTACTATTGTTTACAGAATGGCAATTGCCTAGCAGTCTGATGAGAAACTTGAAGGCTTTTTGAAATAGGAACTATGTCCGTACCCAATGTCTCTATTCGATGACTTTGGTATCAGGAAAGAGGTCAAGTCTGCCTTATTTAAAGCATTCACACATACTGAAGATCCAAATCTTGAAAGGTGTTTTAGGTGAAAAAGAACCTGAAAGTAGCTCTGCAGAAATTATGGTACCGTTGGCCAAGAAGTCTCGGAGGAATTAAAAAGTTTAACTTAATCAAAGTAATTTGTATCTACCATTATGTTGGTGTACATGTATTTTAAATTAAAAGGGTTTAATATTTATAAATAAAACAAGATTTATGGGACGTTTTACACTTTTACATCCTATTATAACCTGGAGAAGTCATAACGGAAATAATTTTGGTTTTTTCCTAAATCAATGAATTTTGAAGATCTTTTAAATTTTGTTTGATAAACACTTCTTTGTGGTAGATAAAAGTTATAGATACATAAACTGTAGAGAATTTTATGCTCTTTATTTTAGTATAGGATGATATTTGGGAAAAATTATTATTCGATAGATTATGAGCCAAAAACTAGAAAAAAATACAATTTTCATCCTATTTTTCAAAAAATTTCATATTTGCCGAAAAAATTTTTGTTGGAAAACTTCAAATTTGGATTCAGCACCCCAAAAAACATAAAGAAAACAAAAGAAAACAATTACACCAAAACTTTCCATTTCAAAACACCATTTGACTGGGCTATAATAACTTTCAACTTACCGAAAATATCCATGGCCCCTCCAGGTAACAACATTAGCGATCAATATTTTTTTACACATACGGCAGTCAAAGACCGAGACCAGTTCTTTCCAGTTATCAGAGTGCAAAATAATCGAAGATCACAAAATATTTTGTCAAACGATATTTTAATAGTTACTAGAGTGAATAGTCAGGTTGGGTAGCAGGAAAATATTTCAGTTCTGGCGGGGAGGCTGCAATTTTAGGTGGTTATAGTATACCAGTTTCTGAACCCAAAACTGCACAGACCCCAATTTTTAAGGACCTCGGTCATCCGTAATGACGTCATCAAGATGGCGGCTGTAAAAGGATGCTGGGTCGCCATGAATGGGCTACAATGACCGAATGCCAGAACCGATTTTTATTATTTTTATACCGACTGTTTTGTGTTCTCAACTCCCTCCAGAGATCTGCAGCAACCTATTCACTTTCCTTGCAATCAAAGGCTGCACTACCGTCTCTGCAATTCATGGAATAGGCAGAATACCCCCACCACAGCAAACCTGCAGATTAAGTGAGTTTTCTTTTCCCTGATTTGATTTTCAATTAAATCAATTTCAATAACATTAGGTTTCATGAGTACCTAGGTTTGCTGCTACAGGGAGATTAATAAATTGAGTCAATTAATATATTAATAGCTTGGTTTAAAATAAATAAATTTGCCGTGTTTAAATAACTTTAATTGATTTAAATACTATTATAAACAAGCAAACTACAACAGTTTATGTACTCTCCGTAATAACATAGGAGTTTTAAGTTTACAATGTTTTGAATTTTCACCGTAACCATTAGGCGCATTAT